CTCTCCTCTCCTCTCCTCTCCTCTCCTCAGAACCAGGAGTTGAATGCTGGTAGAATCGGTTTGACTTTGGTTGTTGCTGGGATGGTTGGATCTATCCTCTGTGGCCTTTGGCTGGACCGCACAAAGTTGTACAAGTAAGCGACACTTACACACTTACACAAGCTATAGATATAGTTTATGTTATAGGTTGGTGTCAAAAATATGACCCATCAGCCTGCAGGATGGTTTCTGGATGACAGAAATATTAGTGTATTTTGCACATCTTTAAGAACGGTGATCCATTAAAGGCAGAAAGACTTCCTAATAACAAAGACATTACCTTTGAACTGCCAAAAGACACTGAAGTAAGACTGTTAAACCGAGGAGCTGTGCCAGTGTGTTTCTGAGGGATATTACAAAAGGTTGATTGATTTAAGAAAAACTGAGACATATTGCTGAAAAGTGAAAAGTGTTTTTTCAGCGGTTATTATACACTGCAGTGTATAATAACTGCTATGGCATGCTATGGCAGCCTCCTCTGCTCACTGGACACTGCCACAGCAGCATTTGCTTGAATTATAAGGTTTATTTCACATTCAGCACTTTTGAATGTGTTTGAGAACAGGCTCTGAACCAACGGAGGAAGCATTTTAAGGTTGAGACAGGAAAAAACCCTCCCCAGAGAGCTGACATACCATTACTAAAATATTATTGTGAACTGTAGCAGTAAGATTCCCCTTCATGACAGCTAAGACCAGGCTGCATACTTTTGATCATATAGAGGGATATCAGAGTCGTTTCATATGTCTGACACAAAGAGTGGTAATCCCTCAGCCAGGAGGGCAGGTACAGTAAATTAAAGCGGTCAAACACCTGCCACTTTGGCCATGATTCAGTTTCTGCAATTAAAGCTCTATTTTAATGTTTTCTCATAGTTTTGTCAGTTTGTTTTGGTCTGTGTGGGAGAAAAAACAGTTTGATATGTTGAGAAGTATGAAAGCTGTGTTTGTGCTTGGTGACCATAATCAAATGAGTACGGGGGCTCTCATGTTCGCGCTGTTGCTTTTTCACAGGATCACCACACTGATCGTGTACATCCTGTCGTTTGTGGGCATGTTGGTCTTCACCTTCACTCTGGACCTCAAAAACATCCACTTGGTCTTTGTCACTGCTGGAGTCCTGGGGTAGGTCCAGCTGTTCTTAAGAAGCATTAAAGAAATATATATACATAGAATATATTTAGTGTTATAGTTATATTATTTAATAACAACAACAAACAAACCAACAGAGAACAGGCTTTACCTTCCTTTTAAACTGAGTATACAGATCTCAGTTACAAACTGATCAGCTGCTTTTCATTTTGCAGGCTCTGTTGCTGATGCTAGTACGTTAAATTAGCTTGTTTGCAGGCCACACATCTTTCAGTGTTTTTTGTTGAAACACACCCCACCCCTAGGGAGATACAGTGTCGATGTTTACATGTAAATACCAAATGAAAATACATATTCTTGCACATTATGTAGATCAGGTCATTGGATTTTGTTTTGACTCTAAACCTCGTTTCTGTGACTTCTGTGTTTCAGGTTCTTCATGACAGGTTACTTGCCACTGGGCTTTGAGTTTGGAGTGGAGATCACCTACCCTGAGTCTGAGGGAACATCATCAGGACTCCTCAATGCCTTTGCTCAGGTACTCCAGAAGCTGTGCAACACTTTCTCATACTTAAGGAGCGCCTTCTATTTGCACTATGGGCCACATCTGCAGTAAGAAAGCATAAGATTGGACCTCTTTCTCCAAACAGCTTTTGATTCCTCTAATAATAAAACTTTTTTTTTTATCTGAAGCATTTATTTAAAGAAGCTAAATATTATTTTTCATTTTATACCTTTTGGCTACAAATTTTCCACATCTTCTTATCACTTTGCCAGTGATCAGAGACTGGAATGTTTTTTAAGGATGTAATGTACTATGAAGCGCCTTGAGGCGACTTATGTTGTGATTTGGCGCTATATAAATAAAATTGAATTGAATTGAATTACTTTATTAGCAATTGTTGCTAACATGCTATGTGGGTGTTTACTTATCTTGCAGATATTTGGGATTATTTTCACTCTGATTCAGGGAAAACTGACCACAGACCATGGCCCACTGTCTGGAAATCTCTTTCTCTGTGCCTGGATCTTCCTGGGAATAATTCTTACAGGTAAGCAGTGTGTGTGTGTGTGTGTGTGTGTGTGTGTGTGGGGGTTATATGGATGTCACTATGTGTTCATGTGTTCATTAAATGAAATATTAGATTTCTAATATTTTATGATGTTTTGTTTTCAGCCTTAATCAAATCAGAACTGAAAAGACACAATGTGAACATGGGAGCAGACAGCAATCACCTGAAAGCGGTAAGTCCTTCCAGGAATGTTTCAACTAGATTAAACAGTTTAGCTAAACAGTAAAATAAAATATTAGTATTATAAAATTTAACCTAATAAAGTTCTTTGCCTCTTGAAAGTAGAGTCTTTATCCGGAAACAAACAAATGTAAATTCACACGCTTACAGAAAATAAAAATTATATTTTTATTGTAATGGCAGAAAAGTAGCAATAATTGATAGTAAATGGAAACCATTCACAGTCACCTTTCAAAACATCTATTTCACATTATGTTGTTGGCTTTCTGTGTCCTGTACAGCTGACTGTATTTAGTTTGAGTGTCTCTTTGTGTGATATTTTAATGTGACCTTCAGAGGTGACAGATTCTTGAACCTTTCTCTACTTTCCCTGAACATTGAGTCTCTTTTTGTTTCTGTTCTGGCATTTAGCCTTGCAAATTGTCCTCTAAGCAGACAAGGCTTAAAAACCCTATCTTTCGCACATTATCTTGCTGCCAGCTGGTTGTTTCTAATCATTTTGCTTAAAACCCCTTAGACAAGCCAGGCCTTTAAATCTGTTTAAGGACTCTCCATTCAGTTGATAGACCACCTTCCCACCATCCTGCTGAGTCACAGTTAAAGCGCCCTTTAGAGACCCGAGTTTATTCAGGCTCTCCTTTGTTGCTTTTATCACGTTTGAAGTTTTTTAAAAAAAAAAGGTTCACACAATCTTTTGTAGGTTATGAGGTTACCACAATTTAATAAATGCAAAAAATAAAATAGCAAAAATGATTTGTCCAAGTATTCCTTTGCTTCAGGGGTCACAAGCAATGCCTGCATGTTTTTATTGGTGCCATCTGGTGGCAGTGTTAAGAATAACGTTTTAGTAGGTGCTAAATAGAGCACCGGACTGTGCCAGCTTCAATCAGAACAGAGATTTAATCACACAAATCTACAAATAGTAGATAATAAATTACATAAAGAGTAATGCTGGATTTCGATAAAACCCTGAATTGCCACATTTCTGAAATCCACAGCTCAGAAAAACCTAAAACCATGACGAGAAGAGATGTAAATAAGGAAATATCTTATAGTTACAAGAGTCACAGGAGTTGTTCTTTTGTGGGTTATTTGGCAGTTACTAGAAAAAGCCCAAAAAGAGATGTGTGCATCAAGTCTGATTAATTACATTACAGTTCATGTTGATTTCTTGTTTGTGTCCCAGCTTACTACTGATTGTCCTGGAGACTGCCCTTCAGAAAAGAAATCCAATGGAGCCAAGATGGAGCCCTCAGTCAGCTTCTCTCGTGAAACCTCACTGTGACCTGCCAAGTCACACAATCACAAACAAGTGAGACTATCTCCCTGCTCCCGTGGGAAACAAGTTGGCATCAAATACCTACAGCAGTACCTGCTTTTTGTTGCCAAAAATCTCCTCCTTAAAACTTGGAAAGTTGAAGGTGCCGGGCGTGAGCCAGGTCTAATTAAAGACAGCCACAACCTACAGGTGATTTAGGACAGGTGTCTCATGGATGGGATTGGTTAATGTTGTAACCAAGCTGCCTGACTCCTTTCAAAGCTCCTGGAAAGATTGTTGTACACTGACATGCAGAAGACACTCCATTGCACTTTACTTGGCTGTAGGTAAAGGCTGGCACTCTTAGCTGGTTAGTGAAGGAAAACTGGCTGGACCCCCCCCCCCGCCAGTCCCAGACAACTGTGACACTGGTTCCTGTAACACTGCAAGAGAAAGCGAGCAGAGCAATCTTGTTCAGTTTTATACTGCCACAGATGTTAGGCCACCATTTCCTGAGTTTACTTGAATTATTCTTTGAAGCTCTACTCTAGATGTGAATCTCACTGTAAATATCTATTAAATTTTTTTACATGGCAGTAATCAAAAGGTCCTTTGACTCAGATTAACTCCTGGAATCTGTTTCAAACCTGCTTCAGCAAAGAACATGTTTACTGTTTTCTATAAAGCAGCATGAATTGACTGTATATAAAGGATGGATGTAGGCACTGTGACATCACCAACCCACAGTTTGAAACCTCAGCATTAGCAATTTGGAAGCTGCCACGCTGTGTTTCTTTTGGAGTCAGAAGTGACCATATTTAGATGAGAGGGTGGGGTGCTAGCTAGGGCTCAGCTAACTTTCGTTAGCAAACTGCATCCATAAAGTGCACAGGTCCACAAACACTGATCCTAAATAGTTCCAAGTAAAAGACTTCAAATTATGAAAATAATAATGAATATTTAAGCTTCACGGACAGCTTGGATGGGCTTTTCCACACAGACAGCCATTAACCTGTTAGCAGTCGGACGTACCGCCCACGGTACATTGGATGGTTTAGGGGACTAATTGTAAATTTGTAGGACTGCTAAGGGGTTAAAAGTCTTTCACAAAGCATCGGCACAATGGAGACGTCAATTTAAGGAAGTTGGTTTAAAAGATTCAGTTCAATGACATTTTATTTATACAGCGCTAAATCACAACAACAGTCGCCTCAAGGCGCTTTATATTATGAGGTAGACCCTAAATTTATACATACAAAGCGAAACCCAACAATCATATGACCCTCTATGAGCAAGCACTTTGGCGATAGTGGGAAGGAAAAACTTGCTTTTAACAGTAAGAAACCTCCAGCAGAACCAAGCTCCGGAGGGGCGGGGCCATCTGCTGCGGCTGGTTGGGGAGAGAGAAGGAAGACAGGGTAAAAAGCATGTTGTGGAAGCGAGCCAGAGATTAATAACTAGTATGAGGACTAGTATAATGCAGAGAAGTCTATTAACACATAGTGAGTGAGAAAGGTGACTGAAGAAGAAACACTCAATGCATCATGGGAAGGATTCAGGGTCACCTGGTCCAGTCCTAACTATATGCTTTAGCAAAAAGGAGAGTTTTAAACCTAATCTTAAAAGTAGAGATAGTGTCTGTCTCCCAAATCCAAACTAGAGCTGGTTCCATAGTCGAGGGGCCTGGCAGAAAGTTACTTGCCTGTGTGGCACACCTGTGAAATAAAGGAGCCACACCCTCACTTTAAGCCTTTAACTTTATCCAGATGGATGGTTATAGCTAAAAAGAAACTCAGCTCTAGTTTAGTTGTCATGGTGGGAGAAATTAGCTTCGCCCAGCTGTTTCTTGTAAATATGTTATTTTCATGTCATGCTGAATTTGGGCATTTCAACATGGGCGTCTCTGGGAAATGACTCGTTTTTTGCGCCAATGGCAAGTGGCCAATCAAGGAATTGCACTTCTTTGCTAGATGATGTCTAAAAATCACCATGAAGACCTCATTGCGTTTAACTGTAGTTTCTTTTTACCGCAGCATTGTGTATAGATGTGTGCTGTTTTGCTGGACACATTTAAAGCTCCAGTGACATTTCATGGTGACTGAATGCACCTACTTGCTACGTCCCCCCCAAAAAGGTTCAATAGTTAAGGAAATGAATAATCCCTGAGCATTGTACCTTCTTTCTTCTGTTTACACACAAAGATAGTGTAGGATCAGAACACTTGATCTTAGAAGCTCTTTTTATAGAGACGCACACAATCATATCCTAATGTGAACACATGCAGTCACAAAGAGCAAATAGTTTAGTTATCATTTGGAGGGAAGGCGAAAGCTGATGACATGGTAACTCGGCGGTAATATCGCTCAATAAAACAGATTGTGGAACTCATAAATATGTGACAAGTGGAATGTGCTGCAGTGTTTTCCAAATTTGGACCAAACAGAATGTAAAGATTTTCTGAGTTCAGCGCACAATTTTAAACACAGGCACAACTTTAGGCCTTTTTCTGAAATACATGATTTCAGTTTTAACTCTATCCGTTATGCATGTCACTGGTCGAGCTGCCGTTTGTGGGACGAGGAAAGCAGAGTGGACAGGAGAAGCACAAAAGTTTGACATCTGAATATTCTCAGTTTAATATTCCTACTGTATCCATAAAAGTTTTTCTTTTTCCTTTTAAAGTCTTGCATAAACGCAGATACTTTGGTCTTAGCTGACACGTAGCCTTGTTTCATGTTTGTGTCCAAGCTCGTAAACCTTGTAAGAAACACATTTGTTTTCACTTATTTTGACCTCATAAGTCCTGGTCTATAATGTGAAATGCATGAAGTCAGACTTCGATTCTATTTTTACTTAAAAATTGTAAATTAGAATAAATAACAGACTTATTGAGTAAGTCTCATTACAAATGTACTAAATAGGATGCAACAAAGCACAACAAATCATATGCACCAGGTGGCCTCTTCAGTAGATGTGCCGCACTTGTCAACCTTAGGGCTAATTTGTTATGGCTACTCCTCATACTTGATCGGTAGGAGGGCTTAAAAAAATCGGGCTCACCATCACAGACATTTACCTGTCCATTCTTGTGTTCTTTTAATTCAGCTAAGAACTGAAAAGATGTAGAAAGAGAGCGTTTGTCTTCCTCCTATGTGCAAGATTTTTTGGTATAAACATTTATTTTTCTGCTTTCTGCTGCAATCTCACCAACTCTTCACTCCAAGAGATTCATGTCAGTTGACAGGGTCTCTTTGTTTTTCTGGAATTTGTAAGTAAATAAATATTGATTGACAATTACATATTGATACCACAACCTCAAACATTTTACTTTTTTATACCCTTACCTTTGAGATGGTAGGGTGTTTCTCCAAACAACTGTTAAATCCTCCGTTAAACATTTCTTTCTTCTCTCAGAATCTTTAAAATACTTTTATTTTATGCATTTTTCCTGTTTTCAGGCTTCTTGTTAATCAAGATATGTTTTGTTTTTTTACTTTTTCTGACCCACTGATGTTTGTCATTTTTATAAACTACTAAAAGGTTTTATCTGGAATATAATTTGATTTTATTTATTTTCAGTCTATTTATTTTCCTGTGAGTATGTTACAGAAAACAGCACTTAACAATTACAATGATGAGGTGGTGAATAACATGGCCTTGTAGTCTGAAAAGACTTCAGCCTCTGGGGTAAAAGTATTTCATATTTTGTCAGCCATATTTTACACTGTCAACATCCAGTTTTGAACTTTTCTTCATGGAAATAAATTATGTGAAATCAGTAAAGCATTACATGCTTCCTTTGTCTTGGGGATACTGTTTGCATTAACTGGGTCACTGGATTTAGTGGCTATTTTATATCAGCATTAGAAACAGTTTTTATGCAGCAGATGTTTTTAATGCTTTTGCATGATTGACAGTTTCTGTTTTCTGACATGTAAAAATCAAGTAGTTGAGGGTAGTTTGCGACTTTTTGTTCTCCCACACAAGTTTAATCTTTAAAGGCTAAATAGACCAAAACAAGCTGCTGCACATCGCACTGCATTGAGCCCCTAGCTCACTGGTATTCTCTCAAATGGTCAGCCAAAAGTTAAAAATAAAGAAAACTGGTTAAAAATTAGAATTTTTGCAAATGTGGAGGACTATTTTTTTTAATCTGTGGATGGATACAAGAGATGTACATAAAACTTTTACCGGATTTTTTCTTGTTTTGGGTCTTTGTAGAGAATTCTGTTTTGACTGTAACAAAAATATGAATAATGTCACTTACCCGTGAAACAAGTATGTATATTGTAAATCTCAATGCCAATTATTGTTGAATATTTTCAAAGAAATAGCACAGTAGCCGAAAGTAGCTTTTATTTTCAAAGAACTTGTTATCCAGACAAGTGAAACTTAAAATAAGTTAACACCAAGAAAATATCTTGTTTTTCTTCACTGTCAATAAAAGCATTTTACTGTAACATATTTGTTCTTACAGACTTTTTCTCGACTCAGTAAGTAAACCCAGAAGTGAACAATCAAGCTGATCTACCTATAAGTTCATTTACCTGAAAGTGAGTTAGACTGAAAGTAACAGACAAAATAAGTTGCGTGCGAGCGACAGAGGAAAGTTGTTGTTTGAAGCTGTGGGCAGTTTGATAGTATGAGGTTGTAAGAATGTATTACGGATATTTACCAGAGAAAGACAAATACTTTATAAGACACTGCATAAAAATAGCATACTGAGGTAGGAGGGTTCTTCCAGGAACTGTGACACTGTTTTCCAGAGAACTGATCAGTAGGCGGTGACTTTGTACCTGTGTTATACCATAGATGGTTACAGCTGCGGTCACAAGTTTATAAAAACTCATCCTGAGCAAGAATTTCCTGTTAATTCTGGACTTTTAACAATTTCTTTGAACTGCTCTCTTTCCAGGATGCCATGATTGTAGTACGTAAGCCTTTAATGACTTTAATAAATAAGAATTAGGTGCATATAACAGCACAGTGGTGCAGTGGTTAGCACTGGTTTCTGTGTGCAGTTTACTTGTTCTCCTCATGTTTGTGTGGGTTCTCTCTGGGTACTTGGCTAATTGGGGATCTTAAAAAGGCCATAGGCGTGAATAGTTGTCTGTCTCTGTGATAGCCCTGCGTCAGAGTGGCGACCTGTCCTGGCCCCCATCCTACGATAGCTGGGAAGGACTATCCTTGTGTATGTGTGTACATTTTCCAAAGAGGGTGTTGGTTTATGTATTGGTGAATGTGGCTTGCAGACCCTACGCTGTGTCACTGCATCATTTCATGTTTGGCACTGATCACCACCTGCACTCATGTATATATCTTTCTACGTAGCACTCATAATTCTTATTCTCATGTATATATCTCATGTATACCTCATGCACATATCTTTCTTTCTACATAGCACTTTAATTCTTATTGTTTGCACTGAAGCACCGCAGCAATTTCCTAATGTTGTAAACCTCAACATCTGGCAATAAACCCCATTCTGATTCTGATTCTGATTCTGATTCAGTATCAGTACTTACCAAGAAAGGTATAAAAGTCAAACCAAGACAGGAAACGCATTCAAAAACTCCAAAGTGACCAATGTCAGTGGTCTTATAACATGCCCTTTCAACCTATTTTTGGCTGATGAGTTGGTGCTGTTACACAATTCTTTACTCATAAATACAACCATCAACAGGAAACACTATCACTTGTGTACCAGGAAGCCCATTTCGAGCCTGCGAGATGCAAGAACCTGTAATAATCCTGATTTTTATGCTTCAGTTTGAAGGTAATTATTCCGATTTTCTTTTCTTGGTTCTGTTATCTATGTTGCGATGAAATATATACATTTTAATTGATTGTTGTTGCCATGTGGAAAAAAAGAAATACCAACATGTAAAGTATATTTTTAGGTTTTGGATCATAATTAGAAGAATTCCATTGAATTCGGTTGACAATAGAATGTAAAGGGTTTTTAGATATCATATAAACCATCATAGATCACTTGACCCAAAGCATAAAGTGCACTAGGGATCTTACCCTGGATCTTACAGTGCATATTCTTTCACTGACTGTTCATTCCAGTTGAATTTAAAGCAGCTGAAGGAAGAAAAACTATTAGAAAAACTCAAAGCTTTGATCTTTTAAACGTTGTTTTAACTTCCTAAGACCCGAACTCTTCCACGGCATGCTTTTTAATTTCTCTTTGATATTTGGGCTGATTGGGACCCGATGAATGTAAAAACAAGAATTACCAGATTTTTTTTTTCTAAGAAAAATGAGAGCCACATATGAGGATATTC